GCTTTTAGTTGAGGCCACCTCGTACGTAACAATACGGTTACATAAATAGTGCAACAGTGTGCGGCTTTACAAGTTCAGTAATTATTTTACTAAAAACTCTAGCGGTTTTTTCTTAAAATTGGGAAAACTTGACAATGAAGTGATTGTAACAGGAAAGGAAATTCCAGATCTTTGGACCTTGGTAAAGAATTGTGAATTTTTTTAGATTAGTCCGGCAATGATGCACGCGATAATGATTGGCTGTTCTGGTGCTTTCGCCATGAATTTGACTGTTTGCAAAAGACAAGTTGAAAAACAATGGAGGCAACAGGTTGTTACAATAATAGTACATAAATTTAGCTATTTGAAAAGTGTTGATTTGATAAATGTCTAAAATTCCTAATTTAGAAAATAAAGGAGCAGAATGTGCTCTATAATCTGAATTGGTAATAGCTCGCACAGCCCGTTTTTGCAAGCAATAAATTCTATAAAGAGATACCGATCAAAGAAAAAAAAACTGACCTATATCTGAGGCACTTTCAAATGAAGAGTTTTCTTGTCCAGACCGAATGGATTGAGCGCTGTACACTCGTACTGTCCCGTGTTGTGATCAGTAAAAGCTCTGATTAGCATGCGGGTTCCAATTGGTTCCCCTTTGTCGTCCACCAACTGCATGAGTTTAGGAATACCAAGGAAAGCGCCTGCAAAAAATTATTTTTCCGAACTGTGTCTTTAGCAATTTTTCATCAAGTTTAAACAAAGGAAATCGTGACCGGTCCGTGACCGTGTTTGGGTATCTGGGTCTATCTGATCTTAAGTATTCTTACGATATAATTTCTCCATGTTCAAATTAGTTTTAGTTATATCAAACCCTCAAGAGAGTGTTTGACCACATTTCCAAACACCACGAAGTTCGTCAAAAATTCTCCGCTACGCGTCGTATTTTCCACTCTCTTCTCGATATTTGGAAATGTGGAAAACACGGTCTTGAGTGTTTGATATATCACGTCAAACACGAGAGAATGTGTTTCATTACATTTCAAAACACCGTGAAGAGAGTTGAGAAAGAAATTCGAGGTTTTGGAAATGTAATGAGACACTCTTGAATTTTGTGAGTCTTCTGATCTCAATCTAATCTAGAAGGAAGAGAACAGAAACACAATCTATGCTACTTAACCCCTCTCACGCCCAAGAGTGCCATGTGGCACAAAATACTATTACATGCTCAATATTAGGCCACTTTTTATCAAATTTGAACAGCAAAAAGGTATTGAGCAGATCTGTTGTTTGAAAGCATAAAATCATACCCCTTCCTATATGAGACTCGATCAACCACCCCTACAAATTGTGCAACTTTTTCCTCTTAGACTTTAAAGGTCAAGTTAATATCTGACAATAACCCACACATTAAGAGCTGCATATTAAACTATAGTTTAGGGGTATACCTCAACTATGGAAGGAGTGAGATAATTTTTTAACGTTTCTCTTTTGCCCTTTTGAATGCTTTTCAATTCAAACTGAGGCTTCCACTATGGCTGTTAGTATGATTTATGGTATCCCACAAATAATATCTTTCAAATGGCATACTATGTGAGGTCCTTGGGTCTATAGTTACCGTTTTACAAAATACGTGGTTTTCCTCATGGGAGTAAAAGGGTTAACACTGACTCACTCACTTGGAATATCCTCCAAGAAGCGCCAGCGAATAAGAGTTGACGGAGACGCGTTGGCAAAGCAGTCTAGCATGACTTCTTTGCTGGTTGTGTTCACACTGGAGTTCACACTTGTAATAACAGGAGCAACTGGAAAGTAAAACAATACGAACCGTTCACATCAGTATTAGGACAAGTCGCAGATATGTCTGTAAACATACACATATATATACGTCACGACGTGACAGATAGTTACATGTACATTACCTCCACAAGCCTCTGCAGAAGTGGCAGCTAATTGCAAAGTTTTAGTTCCATGTTCACAGTTTTTGCACGCGGTCTCTCCCGTTTGGTCCTGGTACGAGTTTTTGGGACAAACTCGACACAAGGGTCCCAGTCCGTCCGAGCTGAATTTTCCTGCTGGACACGGAGCTATTGAAAAAAAGTGCAGCAACCAAGAGTTGAATGAACTGAATCTACCCTCGCAAGATTTATATGGCAGTGTATAGGACAGGGTTATAGAGGGTGCCTTCTTTTTAAGATTCAGCAAAGATACGAAATAGCTAGAATCTTCAACGGATTCAATTACTGACTGAATCTTATTATTGTTGTATAAATCTACTAGCTTCCTATCACAATGGCGTTCTCTGATTGGCTACGCTACTCTCTATATCTATTCTGTTTTAGTATAAATCTACTAGCGTTCTGTCACGAATGCCATTCTCTGATTGGCTACGCTACTCACTATCTATTCTGTGATAGATAGTGAGTAGCGTAGGAGTGTGCCCTTGTTAACAAAATGACGACCGCTTCTTGGCGTTTTCGAAGTGTCTGTGAAGAGGATTTAGATAAATTTTGAACGACTAGTAGATTTATACTAAAACAAAGGCCAATTCCGATATATTAAAATTCTAACTTGGCTCCGAGGCTTAGGGNTAGAATTTTAATATATCGGAATTGGCCTATTAGATTATTCGCTTTCGATTTCTTTCTATACGTGATAGTTGACTCGAGCTGCGTCCTCGTCAACTATCACACGATAGAAATCTCGAGCTCCTAATCTAATTGTTTAATAGATAGTGAGCAGCCTAGCAGTGTGCGCTTGTTAACAAACTTGCGGCCGCTTCTTTTCGATTTCGAAGTGTCTGTGAAGTGAAGAGGATTTTGATGAAGTTTTAAACGTCGACTTTTAGATTCATACTAAGACAATTAAAGTATACGTTCTCGATTTCTACGCGTGATAGAAATCGAGAGCTCATAATCTTATTGTTGTATAGACCGAGTTAACCTCTTACCTTGGGCTCTTGGTGCAAAGTCATCAGCCGCTCTTTCTGAAAATTTTAGAAACATTTGTTGTTAATTTCTCTAATGAGCTTATACAGAAGCTTATCACCTATTCTAGGTGATATGCTCTTGGTGAATATTATTTCAAGTAAGGTTAACTCTCCCAGCTATCCACCTCGAAAACACCGCATTGTCTAGACTAACAGAGGGCGATTTTAGATATATAGAAGCCATTTAAAATTTTATTAAGACTGAAAAGAGGCTGCAAATTCACATGCCTAGTACTGTCGATTCACTGCTTTGATCTAAAGGAAGCTTGGAAAAGACTGTCAATTTACAAAAATGAACACTGCTAACAGTAATTATTCTTAAGATAAATTAAAAGAAAAAGCAGACGATAACTCACGGTAACTCTGTTGCAGTGTGGAGAATGTTTCTTAGATTATTGAAAAACGTTTACTTCAGCAAAGTTTGAGAGATGTTGAGCTAAACCTCGTTAAAAATGTGCATCAATTAATGTTCAACTTTGAACTGCAAGCAACTTACTGTTTTCTTGTACTGTTGACCTCTTAGAAGATGACGTTATAGCAGTCACGTGCACAGAGCTGGTTATTTCGCCATGTGTATTAGCTGACATGCAAGTATAGTTCCCAGCATCTGATGAATCTGCATTTGTTATGGTCAGCTGCGTTCCCGTGGGATTACCATCCTTGTCTTTCATCTGTTCCTGTGTTTTGGAGCCTGTAAAGTGATCCACTTTCATTGTCAGTCCACAGGTAGAGAGAAACATCTTTAGAGTGATTTAATAGGCCTTCTTAGGAGATCAAGCACTGGGTGAGTGGGGTATACTCCCATATATAAGCTACATGGGTATGTGCCACTGTGAAGGGTATGGTTTTCAGGCAGTTTAGTCTGAAATAGGGTGTAGAAAGCAGCCTATTTTTGGGTCTAGAATAGGCTATAATTTACCGGAAAAGCGGCCAGTATATAAATAAATTAGACTAAAACGGTTTTTTTAATCCAGGGTTCTATAAGAGAAATTGAAACTCGAAAGTGACTTTGTAAAATACTTGTTTAGTTGTCGTATGTTGGGCTACGATAGTGATAAAGTTTTTGCGCGCATTGAAAATAGCCAGTCTGGGATAGGGTAGGGGTTTTTCGTGCCTAGTCTACAATAGGGTTGCAAAATCAAGCTGATCGTGGTCTAGTTTAGGGTAAGGCTTTCACTGTCCCGGCGGCACATCTCCACCCTAAGACTAACAGAGTACCACTCCCCGGGATCACGTATCATAATAATAAAAATAAGATCTTTATTTATCCAAGGTAAACATATCACATTTCAGGGCTCCGCCATGATGCCATGCAAACTACAGTAAATCACAATAAAACGATTTAATATAACGACCTAAATTGCAATATTTCTATATAATAACCATAGCTAGGGCAGTGATGCATTTACGATGAAGCGTTTACGATACAATACTAGGAAAATGAGTTAAACTAGCGGCTTGATTCACCTCAGTCCTCAGGTGAGAGACTGCTCCACAATATAGCTCCGATGTGGCGAGACTCGTTTTCCTTTTCTTCAGAAATACATGTGTGGTCATGTTTATTCATAGTTTTGTACATCAGAGTCTTAAATTTGGTTTTCTCGTCACCTAAGTTTGGACAGTTAAAGGAGCTAAGCAACGGTATTTTGACCACGTACAAAATTACATTTAAATTGAAAGGAACAGGGATGGTTAAGGACGGAGAGGATTAACACGGATTATAAACGACGAACTTGAAACAATTAGGCTAAACTTTTCAAGCCGTGTCGTAGCTCCTTTCACATTACGAAGAACCTGGTAAGATCTGTCCGGTGAAATAGTTAACATAACTGCAAGTATCCCCCTTCCCTTGGAGTCCGATATCCAGTCGTATCTCCCTTAATTTATCAACTCACCTTTTCCGTTACCTGAGTATTGCCAATAGACAGATGGCGTTGGTTCCCCTTCGGAGAAACATTTAAGCACCAACGTGCCTCCGGCATTGACTGAAGCGGCACCTCCTGGCTCAAGTTTAGTAATTTGCGGGGACTCTGTATATTAAACAGGTAAAGATGTTACGAACGGTAATTCCTACCTGTTAAGCAGCCTAGTCCCCGGGCATCCTTGGCTTAAGAGAGTCTGGAGTCTATGATAAGTCGAATGACCTAACCGAAATTTTCTCGCCCAGTCGCTCCCAGACTTCGCGCTGGCAGAGCAGCATATAAGATAACACGCCGCAAAACTAGGCTGCCTTCCAAGCAGATAAGAAGATAAATAATTTATAACAATAATCTGATTAGGCAGAGCTGTAAAAAGCTCAATTCTTCACGTTACCAAACAACTTACTTCCACAGAAGGTAGCACCAATATGCAGAGTGTAAGTTCCCTGAGGACAAACCACACAACTTGTCTGTTGAGCTTTGTCTTGGTAAGTTCCATTAGAACAGAAATCACAGAAAGGACCAAAACCATCCTTGGAATAGCGACCAGGAGGGCAGATAGCTGACAGATTAAAATAGAAGTTCTTTTAGTAAAAATGGCCAAACGTAGGACTGTTTATTGTACGAAAGTCGTATTTGTTTTCAAAGGTCTTCGTGAAGTTGGAAGGGATGCCAGGGGTCTTATTTGAGGAAAAGTAAAACAAAGTTTAGTAATATTACAGAGATCAAAGTTACGACATCATCTATTATATCTAAATCCAAGAGATCATAAATCTTAGGCAGTCAAGATAATTAACCAGCGATTATTACTTTTGCTGTTATACTGCCTTTACACGTTTTCCCTAAGTGAGACCAGAATCCTTGGTTTATACCCCTGAACGAGACCCGACTTTTTTATCTGGGAGTCTCCCCGGGATTGTGAACTTGTCTTTACAATGGTACAGTAGGTTGGTTTACTTTTATGCTGTTTGAATACAACTCTGAGAAACACTCTGAGGTCGTCAATTCTACCCTGAATCCAAACGCTACTTACGTCTACAAGCGTATGATCCTTTCTTTGATGATGATGTTCCTGGCGGACAGATTTTACAGCTTGTTTGCGCTGTTTTATCCTGAAACGTCCCTCCTGCGCATGCGTCGCAGGCTCCACTTTGATAGGACGTTCCAGGGGGACACTCATCTATGGAAATTAACAAGTCAAGGGAAGTTTACTTAAAAAAGCGCTTTGTTATCACCCAGAAAAACTTTAATGTTTCACTAGCATACCCTCAAGGTCAGGCTAGTTTAAAACTAGTTTATGCCATGGATATCAATTCTGAATGTTTATGTCGTTCGAAGGCATAGATGGCAGGAACATACCATCCCTTCTCAATTAAACGTGTATAACAGTGAGTGAAGAACGACCTTTAAGTATTAATATTACGTGCGCAAACTAAAACTCCGTTCACACCAACATGTTAAACATGTTTAAAAGTGGTTTAACTAAAGAAGGTTAAAAATTAGTTACTTATACCATGCACACCTTACAACTTATTAAGGTGAAAACCTGTTTGATTAAAATATGTTAGCCAAGTGGTTTGAAATTTGTCTTGTTAACTTGACTTCAAAGCGTAATTGACAAATTGGAAAAAGCGAAACCTGATTTAGTTATATTAGTTTAGTTGGTGTAAATGGGGCATAAGATAAGATATTTTTAAATAGAGCCTCAACTTACAACAACCCTGACCAAAGGATGAATTCCGAATGCTACCAACATCACATGGGACACTGGCGTTAACGTCCTTATAGCCTGCAGAGGGAAAATATGATGTCAACGAAAGCTTAACGGATCTCATCAGTATCGTTAAATTAATAGGTTGACAGTTTTCCTAGCACCAAAATATAACTGTTTGAATGCGTCAGACTCCTACTCCCTTTGAAACTCCACTAAAAAAAATCAGGAGTCTGGAGCAAGGTGGCCCAGTGCCCCGGCATCACAACTGTGTAGCCTGGAAACAATAAGGCCTGGTTACAAAATCAACAAGGCGGCAATGGATGTCGAGGAAGAACAAGTCGATGTGGTTGTAAAAATCAAACAAAAACATGGAAAAAAGGAAAAAATCGCCAAAACCTCTGTAGTTAAGGTGAAACTGGTGTTCATCGTTTAGAAATGCCTTTTATACCGTTCTTGCAAAAACAGTTTTTACGACACCTGCATAAATTCTGTCGCGCTCATTGGCTAATTTTCATTGTCAATAAGCGGACAGACATATGAATTTATAACTTATGCTACGTGTTAACGAGCGAGAGCGGACAATTTGACAATTTGTTATCGTAAAAACCCACTCGCTATCGCCTCGTGGATGCATAGCCACTTTGACAATGTTATGACGAAATTCGTGATCAATAACAGGTGAAAAACTAACGTCAATTTGTAAAGTTTATTCTTCCGATTAAAGGTGAAAAATTATTTTAATACATCATTACCTTCCTCGTAGCATATATATTTTGTCCTTTCTGAAAGCGCGAAAGCGCTCAACTAAACAGAGAAGAAAAAAAATTGGGACAGCCTTTCACCGCTTCTTACCGACACAGTGTAAAACTGGTCTTGTCGGCGGAGGCCAAAATTTCCATTTCCCATCGCTGTATGAACATGACCACCATCCATCCACCCCGAAAGTCTTTTGTCCGTCAGGACATTTCCTAGAACAATATCGCGTATTACCAGTCCAGCCGCACGAAAACCAACCATTTGGGAGACCCTCGGGAGGCAATTGGCACCGATTTCCTGCGTGAAAAATAAACTGTTTTTAAATCTCAGAACACTGCACATGGTATCAGTAATAATTCTTTAGTTGGATTTAAGATACAAATTCAGTAAGACTAAGAAATGAACGTCTCGTCAGATAACTATTTTAAAAAACGCCAAATGATACTGCTAGTTTTCATTGCTTCGCCACGACAAAGAAAAACGAGACCATAGAGGAAGTCGAGAATTTTAAATGCTAAAAAAATTAATAAATACTTAACTTGAGTTCCCTTGATTTCAGTATTACAGTATTAATACCCATTCTTTCATCCGTACTGAAACTATCCAAACAGAAGCCGAAGATGGCTTTTCTTCGCTTCAGATTGGATAGTAATGGCGTACGAAAGAATGTGAATTACAATTCAAAGTGGTCACAATTTTGGGCTCCTTGCCGTAAATCAGATCGTAATTTCCCATGCTTTTTAAACTCTAAGCGTTTGACAAAAGTACTCATAACACTAATTCCATAATTTGGAGGAAATTGTTCACTCTTTCGACTATCGAACTAGTATGCAATACTTTCTCGATTAATCTTACCTCCAACATACACTGTAATTGTGCATTCCGCCGAGTTGCCGTAAGCGTCGATCGCTCGGAAATTCAAGTTATAGCCGCCGTGAGGCGTAAAATATTTGCCGTCTATGAGAGGAGGGACATATTTGTCGATGCCAACATTGTCAGTAAAGATTGGTCTTGTGATGTTCACCCACACTGGAGAATTACTGAAAGACACTTTGAAAACTCTATCCGGGCAGAAGAAAACCTTTGGCTTTTCATTATCTAGGAAGTACAGTAGATATATGCGATATTAAGATGGTTGACTCTAAAAACCATGTGTTTTTAGGTTATGGTTTAAGTTTATTATTACTATTATTATTATTATTATTATTATTATTATTATTGATTTTTTTTCCCTTGTTGCTTGTATAACCAGTTCAAACCTAACTGTTTCAAAACAAAAACCGTCTTATCCACGACATATAGTGTGCTGTAAAAAGCTTCCAATAACTTTATTATCATTGTCTGGAAATTTAGCTGGCTAAAAGTGTGTTCAGTCATATTGGGGGCACTAACATATCTTTGACTGGATTTAAATGAGCTTTGTCACGGTAAGTTATTAGTATTTTACATAATTATGAGTATTTTTATGAGTTATTTTAGCCACGTACAAAACTACTTTTAAATTAAAGGGAATCTGAAACTAGTAGTTTACCAAGGTAGAAAAACACCAAAGAGAAAATAATAAACCATAAAGGAACAAGGATGGTTAAGGATGTAGAAGAACTTGAAAACTTGACGCACGACGAACGTGAAAAAACCTCTAACCTCTTCGCTTTTGCGACCTCGAGTAGAGTGATGGGGTGAAACACGTGTAAATTCCTTTAAACTGTTATTTGCATAATCCCCAGGGTATCAATTACCAATGCAAATTGAGTTTACGTGCTTACCTTTCACACTGACATAAACTACACAGTAATCCTGTTCACCAATTTCATTGACCGCCACCCACTTGACCATCGTACTCCCGGGGGGGAATTGATAGCTGCTACTTACACCGGGTGGGACCACAGCGGTTATGTTCTGGACATTAGATGTAGGGATTGTCCATTTGTCACTTACATCGGACGTGTTCATTCCAGGCTTAAGAACCACGTTTATATTGGCGGGACACGAGATCCATGGTTCTAGAATGGAACGAAAGTATATATTTACAGAGATAGCACAGACACGAGTTAATGATTCAGTAAAGTGGAATCAGTTATTTATTTGATGAGAGACCCATACTCGCGATTTACAACTACTGCAGAATGAAATCGAGTTTTCAGTTTAATTGTAGTTTATCTTAACTTCATACACTTCCAATGAAGTTTTTTGTTTATTATTTTGTATTTTTATCTTTATTATTTCGTGGCATACCAAGAAACTAGCTTGCAGCTAAGCGTACTGACCACGTTTACGTCAATAAAGCGATGATTGAGTTGACTGCTAAGATGGTGATTTGCGGTAAGATCGATCATGTACTGGATGAATTAAGTGATAAATGTGTGTCTGATTGATATCCCCCCGTTTTTCAGCTTGCAAACGCACAGTGAGAAAAATCTCTGCCGTTTGCACGAGCTGCCATACATGTGGCATAATAACTTTAAAAAAAAATTATTATGTCGTATCTCACTCACGAAAAGTCCAAATATAACAAGTGATATTGAATTCAAGTAAAGAAGAAGTTTTTAGGGAGACTTGATGTACTTTTTTTAGTCCAGATTACCTGCCATCCTAAGGTTCCGTCCACATTACGTCGGAGAAAATTGAAAACGCAACAATCACCGTTATTTTGGATTTGTGTTTGTGGAACACTGAGGCAGCGAAATCATACGATTACCGTGGTGTCATCGTTTTCGAAAAGCTCCGTTATCCGGCAAAATGTTTTCTGTCCACACTAAAACGCGAAGCCGGCGTTTTCAAATTCCTCCAACTCGAAGAGCGTTTTCGAAAAGCTCCGTTTTCGTGACGGATTAGTTTGGACGGTGGGCTTAACCGTAGAAATAAAGCTGCGTTTTCAAATTTCTCCCTACGCAGTGTGGACGAGGCCGCCAATTTAACTGTGTCGCAGCAAACTGAGAAGTGACATTTTAGACACTCTAAGAGGGCACGCCTATTATTACTGTTATCGTATAATAATTGCATTCGTGGTTTCCGTACAGAACATTATATTTTTTAGGGGGGGGGGCATGAGTTTTTTTTTCTCACCTTAAGGTTGTGCATGATTTTTTTCGATGGGCGATCGACAGCTTGTACAAGAACTTTTTAAAAAGGAAATCAGACATAGGACCTGTTAAGTAGAAAGCACTTGCTCGATTTTTTTCCCCATGGCTCCCCTTGCACTACTTTTTTCTTGCCTCCCCTTTCCCTCATAAAATAATGGTTCCTTCCTTATAAGCGGATGTAGAGTTTATGCACTTACTTGGATGGTTCTTTTCGCACGTGGGTTCAGTGCCGCTCCATGTACCGTTTGCCAGGCATTCTCTTTCTCTGTTTCCCTTAAGATTGTATCCACTAACACAGCTATGGTGGCACGTCTTACCATACCTTGGGACACCTATCTGGCACCCGCTTGAGACATAACCGTATTTTATGTTTGTCAACAACGGACACGGCCTTCCTGATAGGAGAGAAAAAAATACAAGCATTGTACTTTGCAAAAACTCAGAAAAGAAATTTACCGCCCAACTAGTTACTTTGACCGACGGGATCAAGCATTGCACTTCGCAAAAAATTCGGAACAGAAATTTATCTTCCAATTAGTTACTTTGCCCGACGGGATCAACGAACGTTTTTCTTTTCATAAGAATCTATTTACAGGTATTTTCTTTTGCCATGCTTTCATTTATAGCGTAAACTCCTGCTTTACTGTGTAAACATATATCAGCAGTCCACAATCCCCTACTTTACTCTGACTATGGCCTTATGTTCGAGCTTGTTAAGGCGGTTATTTATTAGGAGATCTCAATGGGGTGATGGCTTTTATAGCTAATTATTTTCCTTACGGTGAACAGAAATCTTAGAAATTAATTACCGTTGTTTTAAAAAGTTAAAAATTAATATTCATCGTTTAAAAAAGGTTAAAAATTTATTTTGATTTCAGTAAAACATATTTAAGGTCTTTAAAGGGTTAAAATGTTTCCATTTTTATGCCTAGCGGATAAATGTTTGGTCCGTTTTACGGCTAACGGTTAATCCCATTGAGACCCTCTCATATTACCTCTATTAACTTCAAGTTGATAAATATATAGCCCTTGTCTGCCAACGTATCATAACAGTTTCTATTAAATAAAAACTGCCAATTTTGCAGATTAATCTAGATTTCTGACAGTCTGTTTTTCTTTTGAAACCATGCAGGGATTTTGAAGCGAGACGTTTCAGGCTAGAATTAATTGGGAACCACTCTCGTCTCGCTCCAACCCCTTTTCGTACTGCCCCTTTTGGTTTATAGCGTTCGCGGATAAACGCTCTTCTGACACTAAGAGAAAATACCGGGTGCCAGCAGTCTATATACACTTGATTCAAAAAACGTTGTCAAGAAAATAGTATTAACCATAAGCTATAAGACTTGCGGACTAACACTAATTTGCATTCTTACGCCAGTCAAAATGAAGAAATTTTCTAAGTCATATAATAAAACAAATTAAAAACTCCGAGGCAGGGCATTTTTACAGTATGGATTGCGCCTCTGTGATATGCAAACTAGCTATGAAATGGTATCAAGTGCGCATTTGCGCCAGCTGACTGTGTCCCTTTAAAACGGTTGACCAGATCAGCATGCCGCGGGCTGTATGACTTAACTACTAACCGGTTCGTCGTTATAGTATTGAAATTACTGCGGGATTGCTCGCATAGTCTGTTAGTGTAAATTTTCCTTTGTTTTCTAACATAGCTACCTTCAGGAAGGCTTGGCCAGTTTCCATGTTTTTCTAAATCACAACTTCGGGCAACTGACTTGTGATATCACTTAAATGCCAAGAGGAAACAATCTTGAATATTTATGATTATGCACACGCTTCTTGAAACCTTCCATTATTCCATGAAGTCGTATCGTTTATGGTTTACACTTTTCGTCGGACGTTTCTTCAATCAGGTGTATACTAGCTTAGGATCAGTTGTAAGTTGTTAGCTTACCTATGCAAGTTGTTGGAGACGGAACCCAATGGCCATCAGCACTACAGGTAGCTATCTCAGCAGACGGTTTTTCCAGGACATATCCATCACTGTTACAAACAACTTTACACTTGTCTTCATATTTGTTTTGTTCCTGCTGGAAACAGCGAGCGGGTTCAAGGGTACTATCGGAATCCCGGCCAGCGGAGAAGTGTGAACATGTTCGGCCTGCGGAATACATGTATGTTCAAGATTCAAGAATCAGTATTTTAATAGTGACAAATTGTATGGTGCAACACTGTCGTAAAATGTCAATAAAAAAGTTCAGAAATTAAATTTCCATTGGGTTTATTTACAGGGAGATAACAGGAAAGTCTTTTTATTGTTTTAAAAGTGTTTTTTCCTAATGCATAGGAAGGAATTTTGCGTTTCAAGAATACCACGGTATTGACAGTACATGCAGTATTTAAGAAAAACTCTCAGTGTAACGATGAGAAGCATAAAAAATGTACAATTCGTCTCTGAGCATACTAATGATACCGTAAAAAATCAAACGCTCTATACAATTGAGCTTATAAGTAACAAATCTTAGTAATCGACACATGCACTCGGATATTGCCTCGTATGCCATTTTTTTCTTTTTTCGTTCTTATCACATTTTGACGTAATCTGTGATTACTGAACAGACGCATGACAACATGGAATCTATTTCTTAACTAGTCTACGATCATATAAAAGCAACAACTAATACTCCTAAAAAACGTTTCAATTATCAACTATAGCTTTTTTCCACTTACGTTGACATGAAAACCTGTCCTTTGTGATGTGTCCATGTTTACAGTCACACCGATAATTACCCGGTAAGTTTGAGCAAGTAGTTGTTGCCTTGTCACAACCATCTTTTCCTTCTTTGCATTCATCAATGTCTATGGGAAAAAGTGGAAATGGATTAGCGCATGAGCAGAGCATTATTTCTAGCGAGTCATGTGCAGATCACGTGCTTGGCTCGCGAGCAATGAAATGGATCCCGGAGAAATACGTTTTTTTTTTTATTTTTCCTTAAAGCGGAGCTATTATGACATATTTTCATTGATGGAAACTTAAATATAATGATCTCCTGTTGTTAAAAATTACTATTTAATTGCTCTGAAGCTATAAAAGGAGTGAGTCAGTTCAAGCAATTACACATGCACAAGGTTGTGATGTCAAATTGAAAAAGTCTGCTAGACCTAAAGGAGCTCAGCCACGGCATTTTGAAATATTTTGGCCACGTAAAAAATTACCTTTTAATTGAAGGGAACCTGGAAATGGTAGTTTACTAAGGTAGAAAAACACACTGAAAGAGGTACTATAATAAACCATAAAGGAACAAGGATGGTTAAAGATGGAGAAGATTGACACGGATTCAGTACGAACGACGAACTTGAAAGATGCACCAAAGGTGACGTAGCTCCTTTAAACAAATTCTGTCATCGAGTCTTGGAAAAATCGCTAAGCACTAATCGCAATTTGCTATCCCATCAACAATTCACTGAATATCTTGATCTTGGTATTTCTTAGCATTAATTTCGCCATCTCCTGGCGAGGCCTCGGTCAAAGTGTTAGCACTTTGTTGGCCAAAAGTGCATTGAAATCACCATGAGAATGTCCCTTTCAAAGTAGTTATACACTATAAAACGAACCTTCACAGCGATAGCCGTCCACCACTTGGTACCCACTGCGGTGACAGTCACAATAATACGAGCTCGGGGTGTTGATACAACGATCGCTACACCCGCCATTATTTAACTGACATTCATTCGCATCTGTAAAAGAGCACGCGTTACGCTATCTAAGGCCTTTTTAATTACAATCTATAAGGTCATCCAGGAGTCTTTCGGCGTCTTGAAGACTTATAGGCTCGATTACCAGCCGCTGTTCGGGAAAGGAGCTCGCGCTCGAGAAAGCGGCGGAAATCGAGCCTAGAAGACGTAGGGAATTAAGGATTACAATTTCCATTGCCAGTCGGAAAGTCTCAGCTATATCTCCGTTTTGAATTGTCTCCAAACCGTTTCAGTAGTTTGCTGGTTTAGTTTTTGTCGTTGTTTATAAACTAAGGTAACAGCAAAAAATTGTTTTGATACTGAACAGTTGTCAAAAGTATTTCGCTTCCTTTGGTTTGCAGTAGTACACTGCGTGATTGGACTTGAAACTGGGACCAATTTAAAGCAGTTTTCATTTGAGTGTCGAAAGCAATCAGGCAATTACCTCGGTTTTGGTTTTGGTTTTACTACGGTTTGAAATTGGCTTAGTAGTCTAATTGGTAAGTAATTGGTTTGGTTTTAGTTTTACCACACTCAATTGAAAACCACTCTATCATCCAATCAAAAGTAAAACCAAAACCAATTAAAACTCGCTCGCACGCGTTTGTATTTGTATTTGCTTCGAGTTTTGATTGGTTCACTGTATTGTCTGTGTCCTTTGTGATTGGGTAGAGTGGTTTTTTTTTGGGTTTTGCTTTTAAAATTTAGTCAATATAAAACCACACTAAAGCGGTTTTCAACTGAGTGTCGAAAGTAATTAGGTATTTAAGTAATTTGGAGGCAGCGTGGCCGAGTGGTTAGAGCGCCGGATTTGAAATCCGTAGGTCCCGTGTTCAAATCCCGTTCTGACCGCTAGCTGATATTGTTCTCGGTAGCCCCGAGTTCATCTTCTCGGCTGCGCTTGTAAATAGCCAACTAGTCTGCCTCGCGCCAGTTGGGATTCTTAACCTAGTTATGTTTATTTGAATATCTATTTATCATCGTTTGTTTACATTGGTTGAAAAGCCCCAATGGAGAGTGGCCAATTAAGTGTACACAAGTTTACATAATTAGGCAATTGCTTTGGTTTTAGTTTTACTACAGTTTACGATAGTCTTAGTAGTCTAATTGGTAATTGGTTTGATTTTGATTTTACGACACACAATTGAAAACCGCTTTAATACTGAATGCGCAGTGATTCATGTGATTATAGGAATGATAAACATTCAAAATTACACTAAACAATTACGAACGTGACATACTTAACGCATGCAAAGTGAAGTGAATGCAAACAAATTAACACATACCCGTACAGCCTCCTTGAGAATCTGAATTGTAGCCTTTTGGACAAGTACATGTAAATGAACCAATGGTGTTAAGACACACAGCAATTTTGTCCTTACAGCCACCGGACGCCGCTTTACATTCGTCGATATCTCAAGGAAAAATAAGAGAAAAGCATCTCTATTTCGTGCACAGTATGTCATTTGTAACTTTATTTTTCTTAAAAGTAATTTCAATCAGTTAAATATGCCTTTTTATGGCGATTCGTTATTGAAAACGATACAGTACATTGGCAACGGAGAAAGTACAAAATAATACATACAGTAACACACAGTGTCGGAGGGGAATTCTTTATGCCACAACCAAATTTATACTGTACCGCAGAAAATTCAGCCAATCAGATTACAGGAAAGCGGTTGTATATTCGATGTTATAATCCATCAAATATTTTCGCTCGCGCGCGATTGGTCTAAACACGCCACGTGACCGAATATTCCCCAGCTAAAACTGGGGCACATCCGAGAATATTCCCCAATTTTCAAAACTGTGCGCGTTGCGAAAAAGATTTGAAGAATAATAAACAGCCTCCATTTTGGTTGAAAATATGCTCGGATATTTGTCCTTGGACATTATCTGTTCCTCGAAGCTCACAGCTTTCCTTGAGCTACGCTCTCGGAAAACTGTTCACTTCTCGGAACAAATAATGTCCGCGGACAAATATCCGAGCGTATTTTCGCGCCAAATGAAGGCTATTGTTTATGTATTATGTATTTTATGTTTATGTACATCCAACTTTCCGATCGCGCGCCACGCGTATGTCTCGTAATTGATTTTGTTGGCCCTGGTATTTTCTACGAGTATGGTATAAAATAGCTATGACCGCTGAAATAAAGCTGCATTTTCAAATTTCTCCGGTATATGTGGACACTGCCTTAGCTGAAGTAATTTTGGAGCCAGCTAGCCTGCGTAGCCGTACGAAGAGTTGGAGCTTTCCGCATTCTGGCCGCGCGTAAATTGGATCGAGAGCAAAAAATCGACGAAGCAGGTGGTGGTTAGGCGAATTTACACGCGATCAGAATGCCGAAAAGCTCTTCGTACGGGAACGCTTGCTACGCAGGTTAGGAGCCAGCAGATTGCAGGCTATAAAGCCTGATGTCGTACACACGCAATAACGTCTTGCAGAAATGTTATTAGCACTGACTAACGGTGCATAAAAAACCCCATTGTTACTGTAGAAGGTGTGTCTGCGATATATTTTGATTGTGTTACGTATCTACATGCTACAATAAGATAAAAGATACAATTGTTATACCCCTGGCAAGTGCCATATTATACCCCTACCTCTCCATAACGGCCACCCCTCTACAACGGCCAATTTCCTCCGCCCAATTTCCATGGTGGCCGTTGTGGAGAGGTCCGACTGTATATTGTTTGTAAATTCTCGGCCTCGGGTTTATTCTTAAAACGTTTCTTTAAATGTCGAAAATTTTCAGCCTAGCCTCGCTATTCTTATAACATGCGTTACTCAGAAGGGCTACTTACCCACACATCGTCCATCAGATGTTTTCTCGTAACCCTTTCTGCAGTTTGCTGAAAGGAAGATCAGCAGATGTGTTATACCAACCAAAACTGAGTTCGAGTATTGAAACTGATTTCATCCCTAGAACAGATTTGTATCGGAAAAACTCTCCGCCCTGACTCATTTGTTTGCAACGGTGAGCAAGAATCCTAGGCTTAGTCTCCTCCGCAACCGGTTTTTTTTTTTGGGAGGGGGGGAAGTCACGCAACGCTCTCCCCCAAGATTGTTGCGTGACATCCCAAAAAACGGTTGCGGAGGAGACTAATCACCAAATGGTCCTGATTAAGGAAGGTTTTGGAATTGGAGGTTGCAAATAATTTGCAAATGTGTACGGCATGCACATATTTGAATTTCACTCGATCATGACAGAGCCGAACATTTAAATTTTTCGTTCAACATTACCAGTATGTCCGATAAGTGACCGTGTCAAAACTTTGAAAGCGGTGGCTTCAATCCAAGAAATTGTAAGTCCAAAATAACTAAAACTTTAAAATTCATTTTCTGGGATTTACGGAAAAAATTAAAATCAGTCTTGCTATTGAGTTACTCACGCGAAATCATGTTCCACTTGTATTTCACTATATCGTTGAAACTGAAAAAGTAGCGCTGCCGCGGCTGTGTTGTCACAACAACAACCTGCAGGGTAAATTATAATAATAGAGATTAAAAGTCATTAAAAAAAAATCTCCTACCCGATGTCCTTTATTTTTAAGGTGGTTTTCTTCTTTAGTTAGGCTGTGAAGTTAACTTCACCGCGTTTTTTTTTTTTTTAGTCAGTCATATAATAAATGAATAATCTTATGAACGCTCGAGCAATATAGGATTTTTATTATATTGCTTGTTCGTGTAGCCGATATAACGCGCGCTCTGATTGGCTAATTGTAGGGCGTTATTCTCCCGTAATGCCAACGGGCTGATTACGGGCTTGCAAAAACAAAACAAAAAGCCATATAATAAACAATTTATTAACCTCGAACATTCGGTCTTTACGGGGAATTCTCAAACCTCAACCTTGCCGTATTGACCTTGCTATCGGTCGGTAGGATCGTCCAATTATGAAGGCAGTTTCAAATATTACTCGTGGTGTAAATTCTTAATTGCACTGGCATTCATACGATTATCTCCAGGGCTGGATTTGGGGGAGGGGGGGATTGATTGAGTGGCTAGCCACCCTATTTTTGAGAAGTAAACAGAAAAAAATAGAAAAAGGGTGTGAATATTATGGCAGAAATAAAGGCAAACTTTCTTGACAGACCTTATTGTTATTTTTACTTTGTGGCATTGCTAGTATTTCTCAGTTTTAAATTAGCAGTTGCAATCCTCAAATTGCAACATTTTGGGATACTGCCCCATTGATTCAGCTACCCGAAAGTACCAGCCACCCCCACCCCCCTTGAAAAATCCTAGATCCGCCCCTGACCCTACGGATTTTACAACAGTCCCCTCAAAACTGCATGGATCAAACACATCTTAAAACATTTAGCTCGCATGTTAATCGTAATCATCGCCTGAAACATTTGGAGACTTTTTTTTCTGATACGTGAATAAAGATGCTCAGGTATATTAAGGAGTGGGTCTGTTGTTATTTAGTGTAAAACCTCCAGGGGTGGTCTATCTGGAGAACCATGCGTACAGAAGGCTTCTAACTTAGCTATGGTAAACGACGGCTCAAAACAACTTTAGTTAATAGTGTTGTTGCCATGGCAACCAATCACGTGACCAAATAACAGCTCACTTCCGGTTTAGATTTTAAGGCCTCTGCAGACAGGGAAGAACGGTTCTTGTTCAGTATTTTATTGTGTAGTCTGACTACTTACCCAAGTACCATACCCAATGTAATTGGAATGCTTGTCCAAGTCACGTGACCAAAGAACTGTCACTAATGTAACTTTATACACACTATTTAAAGAGACTTTCAGCNCCAAGATTTGTCCACATTGTATGAACCGTTTCCAAGATTGACCACCCCCTCACTTTTTGACTAAGGAAAAGATGACCCAGCCCTTAATATACCTGAGTGGTGATTTTTTTTCTTTTTTTCCGTCCTTCTCCTTTCGAATGCTAGGCTTTTTCATCTTAATGCTGTTTTTTCTGTAATAATCATTTTGAAAACTCCTAGATTCAATTATTTTGAAGATAATCTTGATGTATCGCAAAAATTAATTTTAAATATGACACAAATTCGTTTGTAAAGTTGCCAAAGCTTTCGGCTGATCATGTGAAGTATTACGATATCCCAGGCAACCTAGTGGGATGAGTGTGCTGATGATAGTCACGTGGATCATTTTTCATAGAGCAAACATTACTAATCAACTGAGATTGTTGACGTACCTGCCTCAAATGCCAAAAGTCCTCATACAGTCCTTTCTTTGTCAAACGTATTTTGACAGCGGAAAGTTTACCAACATTTTTATCATTAATCGTGAACATTCTGTCACTGCAAATGGAAAAACATTTAAATTGATCAATTTTTGTTTAATGGTCCTGAATTCAACTTCTCCACCATTTGTAAATCGCCAACTGGTCCGTTTTTCACCAATTGGTTTTTAACCCGTTCAATTTTGGTGTTCTATTCTCGATTTATAGCCGTCCCTAATTAGTATAGCAGTGCTAAATTACACTATTATAGTAAAATCCCCATAGCATATATTTGGAAGGGCGTATGACCACAGAGCATTTAATCTCAATTTCTAGAGTTAGCCCGTGTGGCAGCTTTCGTCTCGATCCGCGGCTAGTAAAGCTAGCATTGTTTTTTTGACAAGACAACTAATTTGAGTTTCCTCATATAGACCTTATTCCTAAGGTAACCCCTCTCAAGTAGGTTTTAGACCACTCCCGGTTTTGGAAATCCAAGCAAAATCTAGAAATAGCCAATCCCGTGTCGAGGACTTTGCTCACGTGATCATCCATAAAAATATCCACGAAACGCGCGTGGTTACGTTATCCGGGGAAGAACTGGATACCTATCTACAAATAACTTGGGAGGGATTACAATTGAGAATGAGTCATGTTTGGGGAGGGGGGAACTCTCTTCGCTTTATCCTCTCTTGTTTTTAGGCAGTCCTACGTTTTAGCAATAGCGCTGGGGAGCTTAAGCAATGACGACGGCAACGTCAAGGACGACGCTTGGGAAAAAAATGGATTTATATTTTACCTTTGAATTTCGCAAATATCGAGATCTGTTTAGTATGCCGAGCGGTCTAAAACTTTACCCAAACTAAAGAGGCAACGCCAGCGTTTAATTCCTGAAGAAAATACGAAAAATTAGCCGTCGTGGCTCACGTTCTTCAAAATATGCAGAAGTTGGTCATTTCACATTGTTGTTTTGCATAGGACGATCAGGACGGTTACAAAATATGTAAAGATTTATGACGCATGTGCATAGCCATAAAGTTCTGCTCATTAAAACTTTTTTGGTGACGTTCTCGTTGCCGTTGCCGTCGTGGTTTGCCTAAGCTCTGTAATGATTCTACTGATACTTGCCTTTGGAAACCAAACTCTCCTGGTAAGTCGTGAATTCCAGTTTCAGCGCCACCTTGCCCCACAAGAATGATTGACACCTTGTCTGTTGTCGAGCCATAGCCCGTAGATATAAGAACTCTATAGACTGCAAAAAGTGTACATGTATATGCAAAACGTATGACAGCGTTTACCAACCAAACTATGACTTTAGAAACACAAAACATAAGAAACACGTGTCTTAGAAAAGACAACACCTTTAGCACGAAATTGATTAATCACAATTGCGATAGTACATTACGTTCTCTGTTTGAAAATAGTCACGGGACAGAATATTCTCTTTGCTTGGCTTTATAAGAAAGGAGCTTCTACCTTAAAACGTAAATGGTCTTAAGTGTTAATTATTTATAATCAGACGAAGATTTAAGGTGGCTCTGAACCCACTCGACAGATTTGTTTTAAAGTTGTGCAAAAAGTTGCATGCCATCAGTGCATTGCTTGAGGGACTGACGCACGTTCACTTGAGTAATGCTATCTACTTACCATAAGCTGTAGCTAGTTGTATTTGCAACAAGCCAAGAAATATGAGTAGCAGAGGGACCCTCATGCTCAGCACTGTTGAGATCTATTCAGCAAAAACTATTGAGTTCCACAGACGACACGTAACTAGCTGCCACGCAACTTGTGAAGATATAGAAACGGTCACCTTTTATCTAGTGACCGAAACAATGCGAGAAATTTAGCAATCGATTACAATACGTGTTCGACTAGCCAATCAATGTGTTTAAACGACCGTCCCAAACAATGTGGGCGAGAAGAAACCAATAGGGTGGTTTTAAAACGAGAGTAAAACTACACGACGTGGCTTGCTTGAACGTGTTTCTAGAACAGACACATCTCCAAGACGCACGAAAACTAATCATCAACTTTCAGACCATAACAGTAATTAGGTTTTAAATTTAAACAGCTGCTTTCTGTATGTCATTACAGCATGAATTATGCACTGTTTCAGTTATTATTACAGAACTTTAAAATGTGGCTGGGTAAACCGCACAAATCGCCTTTTAGTAAAGGAGTCCAAAATGCCTGAGTAAGTTCTTATTCTAAATGAAATGTGGTCCAAAAGAAAAATAGAACAAATTAAAGTCACGAGAATTCAATTATCTTCCAAAAGCATATACCTTTATCAAGGCAGTGCAAATCAAAAATTATAATTTATCTTTTGTGCACAACTGAACAAACAGAACTAGCAAGACAAATGGAAGATGGTTTATATGTCCTCTAATTTTCTCAAATTACATTTTAATAACTTTCAATGAGTTGCTCATTTAAAAAAAAAACAGTTTCCTGTTTCTAAAAGGTTAAGAGGTAAGTGAAACTGATGCAATTATTTTTTAGGGTTATTTATGTTGTTGTAGTCTTTTTTTCTGGTTATTAATGATTATTTTTGGCAAATTTTAATAAAAGCCTGAAACGGTTAATTGGTCTCATTTTATTAAGCTGGTCGTTTAGACGAATTATGGTGCAACAGTCGTCTGTCAGATAACACGTGCTTACAAATTATGTGAAACAGACAGGCTGATCGTTCTGTAACAGCACGCCACCGATTGCATCTTCAGAGGCATCCACTTGCAGAGTTACGGGGAGAGTAGGATCGTAGTAGCGTAGCGCAGTCGCTGATGCGGTGAGATTCTTGGCTGAGTTGAATGCGTTTTCGTGGTTGTTTGACCACGGGAATGTAGAATTCTCCTTTGTCAAGTCTCTCAGTGGAAGAACTGTTTCCGACAAGTTTTGGCAGAACTTGCTTAGGTTTTGGCACATGCCAAGAGAGCGCTGCACCCCAGCCTTATCAACAGGCGTTGGCATCTTTGTGATTGCGTCTACTTTGGCAGGGTCCGGTTCGAGCCCTTTATCCGTGAGCTTGTACCCCATGAACTTGACAGAAGGATATTTAAACTGAATCTTTTTCGCAGATAGACGGAGATCCTGCTTGCTGCACTTCTCTTATAGGCTCATGCGATTTTTTCCATGATCCAGGTTAGCTTCCTCTTTTGAATTGCCACATTCGAAGACACAGATATCGTCGGCAATGTTTATTACTCCTTGCAAACCATCTAAGAATTCGTGTTGCCGTCGTTGGTACTCTTCAGGTCCATAGGCTATTCCAAATGGCATCCTGGTGTGGCAGGAGCGACCGCTTGGCCCCTGAAACGTGGTAAGTAAGGATGGTTCTTCGTCCAGCTCGATGGTTTGAAAGGCCTCTGAGACGTCAACAATAGTGAAAACTTTTTGCATTGGTTAGAAGTGGAAGCTTTTCTTCAATCGTGGGTATTGTGTACTTGGGTCTTCGGATGGCCCTATTGATGGTCTGGCTTGGATCAATGCATATTCGAAGTTTCCCGTTTGGCTTTTCTTTCACCAGGATGTTTTAGAGCCAGTCTGTGGGTTGTGTGACTGATTTTATGATGCCCTCATGAGTTCGTCAGCAAAGTCTTGGTATTCGCATTGTGCCGCTTGATTTCGTATTCTCGTCTCCCATGACGCGATCGACTCATTTTCTTGCTGCAGAAGGCGAAGGAACTTTTGTCGTTCCCCTGGCACTCCCACACTGGTGCCATAATATTCTCTTAACGCATTGATAATACTGTGAGGTTTCTTCAAATCGGCTTCGCTTAAACCCAGACTGTATTTGTAGAGATGTCCTGAGGCATGCCATGGCTTTATCCGGCTTGGTCCACTTGGCTTCGTCGGTTTCTTTCGATGTATCGTACGCGTACCAATTTTGCATTATGCAGTAATGTATAAAATCCTCGATGTAGGTTTTCAGGTCCTGCTTTTCGTCTCCCGTTGTTTTAAATTCCGAAAACGGTGTGTTTGAAGTCATCTTGAGCTATCTTGGTGTAAACCGCCGCCACCATGTTATTTACTCGGTTTAGGATGTGGAAAACTGAACGTTTTAATTCAAATAACTGCCTAATTTATACAAATGTGTAGTGGTTGTACTGTGTACTAATTACGTGCTCGTGCGTGCTGGGCAATAAGTGCTGGTGCGAAGGTGTGACATATTTACATTAGGGAGTTTAAGCAAACCACCACGGCTGGTGCTACTACGGCTGCCGTGACTGAAAAGGTCTGGGGAGAGTACGTCTCGGTGGTCTGCCAAATTTTAAGTTTAGCGAGTAAAGCGAAACACAAAGATGAAAGAAACATCGGTTTAAGAGTTTAAAATCTCTTTTATTTAGTTTCTCACAGCCAAATGGCTTCGCTTAATGGGCGATGGCCGTTATTCGCCTTCCTAGGACGAACGGATTATTTCTGAGCGAAAGCGAATGCCATACACTTTGTACCAAACAATTTGATGAATGAAATATATAATTTCAGAAACAAATATCTCAAAGAATATCGAGTGAAGAACACAAATATATCAATGCTCAAAGAAGCAAAATAGCATCGTATAGTTATCCAGATATAAAACATCTTCACTAAACCCTCAAAGCAAACTTAACCGAAGAAAAACAACCTCGTACTCAACACGAATATTTCGCTTGACTCACTTCGCCATTCCAACACCCGCAACACCTTCGCCAAAACTTATCGTAAATTCAGGATACGGATTTACAAGCTTATGAGAGGCAACCTCGACACAATCTTTGACTTAAATTGATTTTAAAGGATATAGTATCCAATGGAATTCTTAAAATGCTGATATGTCCGTTGAAAAGGGCTAGAGAAGAGAAATAAACCTGACGTAGTAGCCATTACGGCAAAACATCCCGACTCACGTAGTCAGATTTCACGCTACGGCTGGATTGAACCGACGTACATGCGCAGTGTCTCATTTTAGAGGAAATTTACTTCCGGCAGCCGTATCAGCGCCAGCCGTAGCGATTTGCTTAAACTCCCTATTGTGTAACAGTAGAACGTGCGCTGGACACATGCCAAGTCTGTCCTAGCTTTCGCGAGGAACTTTACTCTTGTTGTCTCGATCTGTCGACTTGCATAAACACCTGAATGTGAAACAACAATTGCAAACGGGTTTCGTTATTTGTACTTTTAGCTGTTATTATAGTTAAGCCCACGTTTCAGCGGTGTTGCTTTCAGTGCGCACGAAGACGAGGCTTTCGGGTCAAACGAAAATACCCCAACAAAGAATCGTCTGTCCTTTTGACCTGTGGACTCCTCCCTTCGTTTGTGTTTGCGGATCTCGTCGTTCATCTGGCCTGATTCTGTTGTGAAAAGCGTGGTAAGGCACTGCATGGCCTATGGATGTGTTGACAGAAGTAACAAGCCCGAATGTGCAAAACTGTCGTGGCATTCTTTACCTATAAATAATGCTAAGCTTCTTCGAACTTGGTTGCTTAAAATGAAGAGAAAAGACCCTCCTGTGTCGAAACATTGTTACCCCCGCAGTGAGCACTTTTATGAAGATTGTTTTATGCGGTGTGTGGGAGGAAAAAGGTATCTGGATCTGTTCCTACAAGATTGAATTTTTCACTGGAGGAAAAGCCAAAGCGGAAAGCTCCTGTTTATCGCTCAGCTGCACGTGTGACAACAAAGCACCAAGTCAAAGATGAAGTTATACTGAACTCTCAGTCTAACCCTGTCAATAATTTAGCTGAATTAGAATCTGTTAATATTCTATGTCAAGAATTTGGATTTCCTAGTGTCACTACTGATAAAGCTGAGGTGGTTAAAAGCAAAGAAGAACTTTTAATGGAGCCGCTTAAAGAAAGGGAAGAAGAAGAAGTGAAGCGCTTAAATGAATATTTAGAGGTTCAGAGGAAGGAACTCGAAGAAGAACTTATTGAAAAAATGAAACAACTTGATCTAGAACGGGATCTTTGGAAAGAGTTGGAAAGTATGTTCCAACAAAGTCTCTTTAACATTGATAATATTAAGAGTAATTCAAAGTTGTTGAGATTCTATACTGAATTTACAAACTATGAAGTTTTCAGCATATTTCTTAGCTTTTTAGGTAGGGATGCAGCCTCTTAACTTTTGTACAGCAACACTGAACAAAAATGATGCTCAAAAAAGAGAGAGGACAGGCCCAAAAAAGACCTTGTTAGTGGAGGAGGAATTTTTCCTTGTATTATGTTGGTCTACTTGAGGAGGATTTAGCTGCAAGATTTAGAATATCTCAGAGTCCTGTGAGCGGAATAATTGTTACTTGGAAAAAGTTTATGTACTGCAGATTCAAAGAACTAGACATCTTCCCTGACAGACAAATAATTGAGTTACACAAGCCTGCATGCTTCAAANTATTCGATACAATGTCGTATTCGATATAAGGTAGCTAGTTAAAAAAATAGTGATTGTTGCCTCCAGTCACAGGATATAACATATATGACCCTGTATTTTATTTCCAATAGGAATGTAGTAGACGTAACATCAGCTTGCCTGTCAGATTCCTGTCTCCACAGTTGTAGTTCCTGGCGACTACAGGTATGCTCCACAGCCTGTTCCCTATCACCAGTGGAACTCACTGCATTTATGTCGGCACCATTTAGCTGCTGGTGACATGGAGGCAGGCCTTCGTGTTCATCTGGCGTCCGCTCTGCAAAAGGTGCGGTCTCCTGAATAGGGCAAGGCACTTCCTGTCTATCTTGGCTCTGGCGTGTATCCAGGCCCATCTCCTGAGTGGGGTGGCTCAGTGCATTAGCCTGTGCACTCTGCTGGTAACTGGACTGCTGTTGTTGTCCATTCACCAACTGACATGCAGCCGGTTCTTGGATGGAGGATTCTTCTCTGGATATAACCCCTCCACCATTTAACATGTTCACACCATTGCTTCCTCCAACATCGCTCCGCTGGTAAACTGGCTGCCTCTCACGCGTATTCAGCAAATACCCTGCGATCTCTTCCGCTTCTGGGATGGGGCAAGATACTTCATTGGCTTGTCCGCCAGTTGCTCTGAGGTAGGTTCGTTCATTAACCTGACCATCATCGCCCTGCTGGTTGGTCGGATGCCGCTCTTGATTGAGGGATTGCTCCGTTTCCATGTCAGGAAGAGATGGTCCAACACCCTGCTCATCATTTCCCTGCTGATAACCTGGCTGTTGCCCTTGCTCAGGGATCCCCTGCCCGGCGGGTGGCTCAGCTGGAGGAGTGTTGTCACTCGTGACGCAGCCCTGACCACCATCTCTGCTCTAGAATAAATAAAATACAAGCAAATGACCTCGTGCATTTAGCACTGCTGTGCTAATTGAGGACAGTACAAACAAATACTACGAATAGGACAGAATTAAAGTAGAAGCGGCTTCACACCCACGGCGAAAATGTCGAGAACAGCGAAGATAGCTTTGAAAAATTGAATTTTGAACAACCATCACTGGAAGGAACACAAAAATTGAACAGTCTGAATATAAAAAGTAACGGGTGATTTATTGTTGTTTCATGAAATCAATTTGCGGTATGTTGTAGTCGGCCGGCAGAAGGCCGAATTAACGTGACCTTTGGCAAGATACTAACTTCATATCCCAACACTTGCAGAGAGAAGTCGTGTTGTACACAAAAAACGTCAGTGAGATGTGGAAGGTCGTGAACACGTCCTATTTCATCTGCCGCACCGCTGGACTTTGGAGCACGTTATAAGCTAATATGTGAGTACGATTGGGCTAAAAAAAAATACATCATAAGTATCGGCAAGACGCCGATAGATTTCCCACGAAAGCCCTCCGCCGACGACAACTCCAGATTGGGCTCAAACAACAATATAATATCAAACCTATCTTCGCTGTTCGCACTCAAACTTACTGAAGAATTCACCACCGCCAGTACTTTCGCCGTAAATGTGAGGTACCGCTGTTTATTTGACGGAAGTCTATTGCCAAGAGCGGTTTGATTTCGGTGGTCCCGTAGCAGTGAATGTTTCATTACTTCCAGTGGTGTGGATCGACTTCGTCCGAATCAAGTCGAATCGTCAACCATCTCAGACGAATGGACAAAGTTTGGGTATATTGGACATGGTTCATCTCAAAATAATTTTGTCTTGAGAAACCTGCTTTCCCTTAGCTATAAAATAGCACATTATGCTAAAAATCCCTTCTAAAACCATTATTTTAGCCGATACGGAAAGCAATCTTACACATGCGCATCGCGTGATAGTGTCCCTTTCAAGTTTAATCACAGAAGCGCCGTTCGGTAAAGCATAGAGAGAAGATGACTAAAAATAAGATTAAAATTTTGAACTTACGATGGAGTCACTGACTGATTCATCTAAATGATTAGGGAATAGCATTTTCGCTGCTACAGATAGGAAACTTCGCTCGTCGCTGGAGTTTGTATCTACAAGCACAGGCAAATTCAAATGTCACATCCTTATTTTCGAAGCTGGGGTTTTATTCAAATCCAGCACGTGGGTCAGTGTACTTTTCGCGTTTGTCCAGTGATTTTTTCCCAATGATGTCAATGATCACCTTTATCATGGCAAGGCCCCCGTGAACGTTGATAATATTATTCAGAAGATTTCGAGACATTTGCATTGACGTCAGCAAGCTTTAGCGAACCAATCAGAATAATCTTTCATTTCAAATCCAGCAAGTGGATGTAATCGACCATCAAACAATGGTTTACTTTTCGCGCGTGTCCACTGGTTCTTTCCCAGATATGACTTGTTGAGATCACCTTTATTCTGGGAAAACCCCAGTGAACGCTGATATATATTTTTCGATAGGAAACATTTGCATTGACGTCAACAAGCTTCAGCGAACCAATCAAAGGAATCGTTCTCTTTCGTAGCTATAGGAACAAATAATCCGTGAGCAAACCAACAAACCGATCAGGATGGAGATCGATGGCGTCCACTTTTCGCGTTTTTAGGCCTCGTTTTCCAACCATGTACCCCCTGCTAATAATTATTGCACAGTTGTTATATATATTACGTGCTTTCAGAGACCAACCAGCCAAAAACAGACTGCTTCACGATTTAGTTGCAATCAATTTACTCAAAGGAAATGCATTGTTTACCAATACGCAAAGAGGTATATGCTTACATACTATCTGGCAAAGAATTCCATATTTACCTCTGACTCTACCGGAGGTTCATTATCAACAGGGCATCTGCTTGGGCCATTCCTTCAAAAAGTAAAAATTGAAGGTTACATTGAAGACATTTCTGACATTGTCTAAAATTATTCTTGTTATCTTGACTTTTGTAATTGCGTGTGCTCTTTGTATTATTTTGGCAGAGAAATTGCTCGCTTTGGTGGTTTGCAGCGGAACAAGTTTCTTCACCCAATGAAATGCCAGCGTAACCATAGTAACCAGATTGAAGAGGAAATAGAAAGCGGAAACAATTATGATATTAGGCACAGATATGGGATTGCTTCGAAGCAGTACGGCAATGTCGTATTCAGTTTCTAGTTATTCGTTCTTCTGAAAATCTTCAACATAAAGGGTGATTTTCGACAGAAAATGAAAGCTCCATCTTTTCCGGTAAACCTGTGATTCTTCGTGGAGTCACTGATGCCATTGACGCCAGCGCCTTTTTTATCAAACATCTTTAACAACCCTGACCGCTAGTAATTTGTGCATGGCTGCGAACACCGAGCTACCAGATGCTTCATGCGGGACTGACTTTTAAAGTGTTGGTTGTGGACAACTCTGGCACGGATCGTCGCAGTAACACAGGAAAAGATAACGTTTTCACAATTGTTATCGACATCACGCGAACGAGCCGCCATTAATGCGAACGAAGTGGCAAAGGTCGATGGTGGTCGGTTGTATTTGCTTGTGATTCAATCAATGATGGCTTCATCGAAACGTTCGTTTTTCCACTTGGGAGTTTTAACAGCAACAACCTATCAGTCTGGTAGAACTTCTGATGAGGACAAAGCTTCAAGTATGTGTTTCCATGATTTCTAATAACTGAGAAGTGATACTATTGTCTTAAGTCTATCTACTCTGAATAGTTCCTTTCAAAAGAACTTTGAATTATAAGTTTGCATGGCTAAAATTTTGAATTTGATCTAGCTACATTGGATTGCCACTTTGGTCTAATTTAAGTAAAGGATGGAAGTTTCCACGAAAGTTTCGCGAAACAATTTTCAAGTACGCACCACTGTATTGTGCACAGACTGTAGATGATATGTTTTCTACTTTCCGATCTTTACAAACTTCTATGTCAAACATATTTCGACCACGTTAACTTAGCTAATCTTGCATAACCTATGAGCGCCAGATCTTGATATTAATATGACTGCGACCTACCGCCTTCCAACATTGTTCACCAGACGTCGCCTGGTCTGTTGATATGATTTCTAATTTCACTTATAAATGACGATTCAAGTATTTTGTTTTTCAGTTGTATTGTCTCAAGCGTATCTACTCTGAAAAGTTTCGTTAAAAAGAACTTTGAAGTGTAAGTTCCCTACCTTATATTCTTTTGGTTTGATTAGCGATATTGGATCGCCACCTTAGTTCGATTTATAACATTGCTTTGCAGCCAATATTGCTCTTGCTAGAACTTGTGTTTATTAACATATACTCATCTATCATTCAAAAGAACTTTGAAACGTAAGTTTGTATAGCTTATATTTTTGGTTTGATTAGCGATGTTCAGAATATTGAATCGCCACTTAAGTTCGATTTATAACATTCCTTTGCAGCTAATATTGCTCTTGCTAGACCTTGAGTTTATTTAAGCACTCATCTATCGAACATTTTGTTCTAACTATGATTCGAATAATTTCGTTCTTGCAAGGTTGGAATGAATGCCTCACAAAGTGTAACGGTTTAATAATCTCAAACTGCATTCTTAACTGATAACCTCTACTGAGTTACATGGTTTTATAGCGGAAATGTTCGGCGAAGAGTGTTTCACGGCCAGTTCAAGACTGGCTCAACATTTTGACATTAATAAGTGAAAATATAATCTTCTCTCATGTAAAATCAGCGAGCAAAATAAATAATCAGCGGATGTTTAAAATCAGTCAGTAAATACTTACAGGGTCACTTACAGGTTGCATGTTGTTTGTCACGTTTTATGCATTGGTGCCTTCTTGTTATTTTTCTCGGCGATCTCTGAATAATTTCGTGATTTTCTTGACTTAGTCGCTTTGCAAAGAACTCTTGACGAATTTTCTATACAAATAAAAACGTTTTGTATCAAAACTGAGGGTCTACACTTAAAAGAAGGAAATGTTCGAATATTCCTTGCTGTCTGAAAGATATCCAAGTATCACAGCTCTTTTGCAGTTCTTGCAGTGTGAAGGGGTCATATTGAAACGATATTAGGATAGAGCATTTTATTTTAGTTGCATTTTTAAGCTCAGTCTGGCATGCATTTATAATAGNAAAAAATAAGAAAGGGAAACAGCAGAAAACCCGCGTGTAAGAACCTACATTTTTTGTCTGGCAAAATATGTTCCTGTATTTTGGGGTTACTTATATGTATTGGCAATTTAGGCCAAGTGGGTTCTTTTTAGGTTATTGATTTCTATGAACGAGATATAGCTGTTGATCACCAGAAAAAAAAAAAAACTGGCGTTCGGCTCTTAAATATATAATGTAATTCTATGAACGAGATATAGCTGTTGATTACCAGAAAAAATAATAAAATTGAGTTTGGTCTTCAAATAATACAGTGTATTTAATGAATATTCACAACTGTATTATGCCGATAAGCCTCACACAAATGATTACAGAATGTATATGTAGGTTTCCCTCCATAACAAGAATTTATAATTTAACTGTAACCCACATATAAAAACCTGATCCTGCTTGGCTAAACAGATTCTTAGACCCCAGTTATATGGTCTCGGGTGCCCGAGACAACCATCCCCTCCCCCCTGAGGCAAATGTATTGAGCGTTTATATGTGATAACGTTGTCTCTGTAGTTCGAGTCAAAGTTGACCCTGCATGATTATTCACAACTCTTATTCAGTAATCAAATGTGCATATATCCCTCTTTCTTTGAGTTTTCCTCGGTCATTCGATCAAAGTGGGTTTTGTGGAGTTAATTTTCACTTCTTTGATACAAATTTCTGATTTAAATCATTTCGTGACACTCGCCACGCCAAGAATTGTCTCGGTTAAGCGAGCCAAAGTCTGATATGAAGAAAAGTTGTCCCGCCAGCCAGGGTTACCCTACCTGCCGAAGCGAGACAGCTCGCCCACCCGAGTTATCTCGCTCCCCCAGACGGGTTCGCGATCCTCTTGTAAACGGTTGATTGAATTTTGCAAAGAAAGAAGGGAAAAGTTACCTCGGCTAGGGTAACTTAAGGAAGGGTTGTCTCGGGTAGCCGAGACCATATATATAAATGAGGCCTATTTTTTGGTTCTTAAAAAACTAGGTTCTTAGACACTGGTTTTTACTGTAGTTAAGGGTCAAGATTTCAAGTTGACTCCGTTACCTGCAATCTGACTCTCAGCCTAGATTCCAGAAAATGTCACGTGGCTGTAAAATAAATGGAAACCGACACTGAAATAAAGAGAGCGCGTACGTGCAATAATTACGCCCAAAATTCGTGCTCATTATGAGCAGAAGATAGTCTCTTGTAACTCGTTTATGCTACTGTGTGCTCGAGACGGACGCTTGTCAGCCCCGCTTGCGTCCTCACACATCGGGTTCAAAGTTCGTCTTTTTCTATGGTCTGAGCAGTTTTCCCGACCGATTCCTCAGCTTCCGTCAGTTTCGGTATGAGGTCATTCCAGAATGCCACGCGATCCGGGAGTAAACGTTCTTCAATCTTCATGCGCAAGCCTAGCACCAGGTATTTCTCGCTGTCGGCTGTGAATGGCGGCCAGGGAATGGTGGCGTCTGCGGCATCCACTCGATTCTTATCGTATTCGTTGGGATCACTAAAAACAGGAGTTTAAATAAAAAAAGTCACAAAATCGCTTAAATATTTTGGCTTGAATGGTTCTTGGAAGGCCTAGAAGGCGCTCAGTTTGGGAAATTGAGCCTAATGATCTAGAACAAGAGGGGTATAGTAAAGAGAGTTAATCCCCTACAAAGAGTATTTTCACATGACGTCACGGCGTTACTCTCGGTGGGTCTTTACTTTTGGGGAGCAAAAAACGTTATATAAAGTTGGTGCGACTATGCTCTTTCAAAGAAACAAAAGACGAAAATTCGTAAAAACATGACATGAAATGTGGTGACACGAAGTGATCTATCACGGTTCGTGACACGAGCGATACCTTCCCTTGTTTTAGAGTGCCTTAGTTATAATTATCAACCAGTACCGTTCGTAACTTTCACATGACTATTGATTGGAAAAATTTAATATCCTTTGAGCTTTGGTCTTCCTATAATTGGGTGTGACGGTGCGGATGGGCTTGTTTCTCTCGGGGGATTCGCTACTCTCGGGAGGTCACTACTTCCGGGATTTTCTAGCGGCCACAATTTCTTGACGTTGCATTCGGTAGGGGGAGGGGGTCGCTACTTTCGGGGGGTCGCCACTTTCGGAGGTTTACGGTATATTTAGATCAATCCCTACTTCACACTTCGCAAGCTACACACTTATTGTGCAACGCTTTCCAGTGGCATATATGGAATATCCCACGAGTCACTTTTATTGCTCGGTATACAAACGAGCCTTTAGACGAGTGTGTATATCGAACATACACGTGACAAGTGGGATATTCCATGGTATACCGCGAGAGAGCGTTGTATAACTATTTTATACCATGCCATAGAAAATACAGTGGCCAACATAATCATTGGGACGCGCGGCGCATGATGGGAGGTTGGATGTAATGCCATTAAGTATACAACGGCTTTCCCGTGTTCTGATTGGCTGAATTTTCTATGTGCTAAACGGCTTGTTAACACAAATTTCATAATTTCTTACCCAAACGTTACAAAGTTTCCCCACGCTTCACCAACACCCTGGCACAGTCCCTTCTCCAATTCAGTGTATTTAGAGGCCAGAGGGAGGGTAGCCATCGCTTGATAGGGTGCCCCGAATATATAAGGCACCTCGTCACCGTGAGTGACCCCATAGGACTCTGGGTACACAGAGTATCTTGCGCGATGCGTGAAATAGTAGAAAAACGGAGGTACCCCGGCTGCGGCAAGAGATCTGGCTAGTTTAATTGCAGGCGCAACAAACCACGAATCCCCAACGAGTCGCTGCCAGTTTTCCTCGATGCTCTCCTGGAAGTCTGGGTCGGTATGGTTTGTGTACTTATGGAGAATAGCTCTTCTGATCTTGTCGTTCTCTCCATTCTGGACCAGAAGAGATTCTTGTACAGCCTTCTGAAATACTGCATGGTCTATTGGGCGCCCGGCGGCTTTCGATTGCAACTTCCAGGAAGACATTGATCCACCGTTCTTGTTTACGCCAATGATCGTCTTGACTTTCTTGAACCTTCCTTGGTTTAGTAACAGTGATGGGTCGTCTGGGAGGAAGTGCCCGTCCACTGTTACTAAGGGCAGATCCTTTCCTAAGTTCGCATCTGAAAGGGAATCAGTTGCCTCAAGGAACTCCTCTGCGGTCTTACTTCTAAGGCAGGATAACATGTCCCCTGAGATGCAATTTAGTTTTTTCAGATATTGCTTCCCATAGTTGGGATCCTTGCTGGTGTAGGCGGCAAACGGAGAAGTTACCCCTCCCCCTTGAAGTATGGCTTGATGGAACAAGCCTTTAGACAGCGGTGAAATCAAGTGCAAAGCAACACTTGCCGCGCCAGAGCTCTGACCAGCTATTGTTACTTTGTTTGGATCTCCACCAAACGTTGCAATGTTCTCCTGGATCCACTTCAATGCTGCCACTTGGTCGAGCATCCCATAATTTCCCTTCAGTTCTGACCCAGGAACGTTGAGGAATCCGAGGAGGCCCAGGCGGAAGTTTATAGTAACGACAATCATCCCGGAACCAACAGTGGCCAGTGCTGAGCCATCGTAGTTGTTCCCAGTCTGTGTGTAATAACCTCCGCCGTGAATCCACACAAATACCGGAAGTGGATTGTCAGGCGTTATACCAGAGGGCCTCCAGATGTTTAGATATAAGCAGTCCTCGCTCATATCCCCTATTGACAAGAAAAAAAAAACAAATTGTACGTTAAAACTGTATACCGGAAAAATATGGCAGATTGCTTGACTAAATGCAGACAATTACAGTCAATAGACTGTCTCTTGTTACAGTCCAATTTTCTCCCTAAGATAGATAGATAATATTTTTTTTATCCACGGTAAAAAATTATTAGTTTTAAAAATATACCTAAAAGCAAGTATGATGAAGAATATTTAAATTAAATTTAAAAACTGCTTTCCACGAATGTCGGGCCTTACTATTTTTCTTTGAGTAGGCGTTTGAATTGCCAAAGAGACTGTTGCAAAGAATGGCGTCACTATAGCTAAAGCTATTTTTGTATTAGTTTGTGCGCAGTAATGAAACGTCGAGTTTATATTATTCTCAGAGTCGCTTAGGCTATACATGCGTTTTTCGTTTCTTGGTTGACAGGTACCTTCTACAACAGAACCAATCAAATGCAGAACAGCTATCGCATTAGCATTGAGCATTCGCTATCAGATTAGGTTTCCTTTGCCTGACCTTAAATTATTGTGTTGCAAGCTACAATAGCATTGTGCATGATTCCTTAACACACCGATTATTTATAGTCTCGTTTCAGTTGTCTCAGAGTCCCTCAGGTTATATGCAGTTTTCGCCTTTCAAATTTAGAACTCAGTGTAAAGATAGTCTGGAGCCAACCCATGCAGATAGTTGTAAACCATCGTAGCTCTTTGAATTTGCTGCTGGTAAGCTAGATTTTTCCACCCTTGAAGTTTTTGAACAGGTGTGTTTGTGTTCGGCTAGATCGTAAGAACACGTCAAACGGTTGCAATGATCAGTTCAACCTGTAAAAAAGCTTCTCGGCGAGGTGGTGGGTTTGAGATGGAAAGTAGATTTGTCACTTCGCAAATGAATCCGAGATGGTAGCCTTTTAAACTATGCGCGTCATCTCAAAGATCGCATGGAAAAATATGGGACTGTGAAACGTACAGAACACTAGAAGATCGATGTACACTATACATAATGTGGGTGGGGGGAGGGGGTGGCAGGTATGGGTCTGTACCTCCCGCTTTCCGTCAATTTTTTCTCCCAGTTCACTTCTCTTTCTCAGTGGCTCAGTGTCACATCTTGATGACTTCGAAGATGTCGCGCTTTTCCGATTTGTTTCTTTCTTTCAAACAAAAAATAAACCTAAACGCTCGACTTATCATGCCGAATTTAGTGAACATGAGAAGCTGAGTAAGATTCCGTTGTAAACGCATGGAAATGTGCGACTCATAAACTTGCCAATTTTGACAAATAGAAATGTATGTCAGAGGGCAAGCCCTTGGCCCTCTAATCTCGATTGCTGAGAGCATAATGCTTATGTCGCTAATTCACCCTCGCTTCTAACTGTAATACCTAGAGGGTCTGATAGCTTAGCTCAGAAATGTCACCTTTTCAACTAATAACTGAAACTCGGGCTATGCAAAATGTACTGAAACCACCAAAAATTAATCCAACAATAACTAACATTACGGTAACCTCATTCACCTTCTACACAAGATGATATGAGGATCATGCATTTAACCAGGCGATGACATTTCTACACGGATTCCAAAGCTGACCTCGTCATTTCTACAGAAACTCCAATACTGACATTTATGAGTGCTGCACTCGTGCTATTCACTTCAAGAGCCAAGGGAAATGAAAAGATTCCAGTAGTACTAGTTTAAGCCAATATCAAGGTCTCGGTTTGTGTCATTTGCCTCAACCGTAATTTATACGGCAGTAATCGGCCCGAGTTTTACACAAACCTGGACCTTGAGTTTTGAGTGAAAATGCTGCCAACCTCATCCAATAATTGCAAATTATTGGCCAAGAAGTGCAGTAAACCCGCTCTGATAATACTGATGATAAATTTGTGTCATGCATGAATTTATCGTAATATTATTACATGCATAATCCCACAGTCTCGCTTGACTTACCAACCGTCACGTTCCAAGGGAAAGGCACAGTGTTCTGGGGACATTTTGCGGCGAATTGTAAGCCTACGTCTTTCACTCCTTCCCAAGGAACTACCGGCTGCGGAGCAGCGAAACGAAGGTTCCCAACTGGAGGCGCTGCATACGGAATGCCAATGAACCTATCCGCAATGTATCCAAAGGGAATCGGATAGGTGACGCCAAGAACAGATCCTGATTTCAGAACGACTACAGGTCGAGTTGGCTTCTGAATTTGTGCATTACACACCATCAAGAAACAAATGGAAATGGCTGCAATGTTCGGCGTAATCATAAGCCCTGAGAACCTCACCATCTCTACGTACTTTGTCCGTGACTCGCTCTTACACCTTGTTGTTAGACGAGTATTAAACGATACGTACAACATAATTTATACAGGCGAATAATTATGACTTTCGTATGACGTGTTTGAGTTGAGGGGCGGGGGGGACGGGGTTGGGGTTCTGCTGTTTTTCAGGTTAAACGCTCTCCTCTTCGCATGAAATGAAAGCAATTTTATCACGTCTTCTCGCTTCTATGCTCAAAATTATAGTCTACGCTACTGTTTCGTCAAGTTCTATTTAGTTCAAAATTCATCATTAATTCAACTTATTTTTGAGCTGGATCAGAAGTTTTGAAATTTGGCCCTTATTAAAGCTAATGCCTATTTGTCTTGCCAAACAAAGAATTTCCGATCAGTTAGCCTTAAAATAATACCAGAACAGCTTAAAAAACCCTTGTTTGTGTTTCGTGCGTTCATTGAGGATAAAAACATGACTAAATATATTCTTTTGTCCATGGCATATATTGTGATTTTCTTTGCTTTGCTTGTTGTTTAATATACTCACTTAACTGTCGACGAGAGAGATAACTGATTCAAACTCGGCATGTGTGCAGTTGCTTATATAGATAGCAACGCAAAGGAACGCATCCCCAAAGGAGCTCACTCTCGGCTCTAAGAGATTAGNGGGGTTGGGGTTCTGCTGTTTTTCAGGTTAAACGCTCTCCTCTTCGCATGAAATGAAAGCAATTTTATTACGTCTTCTCGCTTCTGGGCTCAAAATTATAGTCTACGCTATTGTTTCGTCAAGTTCTATTTAGTTCAAGTTAGTTAATTTAGTTAATTCAACTTATCTTCGAGCTGGATCAGACGTTTTGGAATTTGGCCCTTATTAGAGCTAATGCCTATTTGTCTTGCCAAACAAAGAATTTCTGATCAGTTAACCTTAAAATAATACCAGAACAGCTTAAAAAACCCTTGTTTGTGTTTCGTACGTTCATTGAGGATAAAAACATGACTAAATATATTCTTTTGTCCATGGCATATATTGTGATTTTCTTTGTTTTGCTTGTTGTTTAATATACTCACTTTACTGTCGACGAGAGAGATAACTGATTCAAACTCGGCATGTATGCAGTTGTTTATACGGATAGCAACGCAAAGGAACGCATCCCCAAAGGAGCTCACTCTCGACTCTAAGAGATTAGCTTTGCACTACTATATGTACAGTGGATGAAAAAATGATAATTTATGCTTGTTGAGCCTCGCTGCCTTGAGATTGCGTGCCTTCACGTTACTCTGTTGACAGATGCCCTCTACATGTGAACCAATCAAAGCGGAGCAATTATCGCATTAAGTGTTATTATTAAGCATCCGTTATGCTTCGTTTGCCTGACCTTAAATTAATGCGTTGAAAGCTACAATAGCATTGTGCACGATTCCTAAGCACACCGATTTATAACCTCGTTTCAGTTGTGCTTATTTACACTTGCAGTCCTTGTATATCATGCGATTTTCAGTTTACCAAAGCCCCGGTTTCCTTTTATTCCTCGGAGCTTCGTTCGCCGTTTTGCTGATTCGCACTGGCGCTTCAGCAGCTTCGGCTACCGAAGACGAGCTTGTTGTTCACCTTAAGACAGGATCTGTTCGTGGTCGATCACAAAAGAGCATATTCGGTTTAAACTTGGAGTATTTCCTTGGGATTCCGTATGCTGCTGCACCGGTTGGTGACCTTCGCTTTTCTCCTCCCCATCCAGTCCAGCCTTGGGAAGTTGTCAGAGATGGAACAAGCTATGGAGCCAGGTGTCCTCAGAATGAAGATTCATTCCCAAGAAATATTACCGTTGGTATGTTCAAAGCTTTCTGAGGCCCGGTCCACAATACACCGGAGGAATTTGAAAACGCAGCTTTATTTCTGCGGTTAGGCCTACCGTCCATTTTAATCCTTCACGAAAACGGAGCTTTTCGAAAACGATGGTACCACGATAATCATGTGAGTTTTCCTCAAACACAAATCCAAAATGGCCGGTGATTGTTGCGTTTTCAAATTTCTCCGGCGTAGTGCGGACGGAAAACGTTCAATGGGTTTTCACGCATGGTTTTCAGAGTTAAAATACCGTTTTCGAATTTCTCCAGCGTAGTGTGGACGGGGTCTTCTATTTATTCAAACTTTATTCATTGATACAGGGGACGTATGGTAATTCACGAGCGTCCATGGGTTGCGTAGCCTCCCAGGTCACGCAGACGCTCTTAGGGTTCGTCACGCGTTCCTTCCCAAACGCGCGACGAACTCTAAGAGCATATGCGCAGCGCAGCAGGCCATGCATTGCGGGCATATATCCAGCATGTTATTCTAAATGCACGGCACCCCAGCCGGGGGGGAGGGGGAGTACTGCCTATATGGGCTATATAGGTATGTGCGGCCCCAAAGGGTATGGCTTTTTCAGCCGTTTTGGTCATAAATAGGTATCGATTTGGCTATTTTGGTCTTAAATAGGGTAGGGTTTTTGTACTCTAGTCTCTTGAATTGGGTATGTTTTTGGATGAAGCTACTTTTTCATCATTATCGATAAGACCGTAAACAGAAGACCTTCAAAATTTATGTTTAGGGCAACTGTGTCAGCCGCAACTGTCATAAATAGGGTATCAATTTTATAAATAGGGTAGGGAAAATCGAAGATTTTGGTCATAAATAGGGTAAGGGTTTTGGGAAGTGGGCCACACGCCCCCACCAAATTTTTCTGGGAGTACCCCCCGGGGCGAGGACTTCCTCGCGACATGCCCTGAATTTACAAGTTAGATACATTCAACGCTCTAAATATTTGCCCAATCCACGGTGTCACGTACAGAATAAAAGTTACTCCCACTGTTTGCATTGTTTCTCTTAGACAAACATAAAATAATTACACGTTATTTCATGATGCAACGTGAAATAACAGCGGATGCTCTGCTAGCGTGCTAATAAACTGTCGTTATGACCGAGGTCCAGCAAACTGTGAGTTAGTTCGGAATAAAATTAAAATTAGTTACGAAATTACGAAGGCAACAGCCTCTCTGTTACCCGTCTGAAAGGGTCACCTTGCTTGGGTGCTCCTTGGTTAGGGGAGAAGAAGCAAACCACGCATCAGAACAAATATAGGAAAACAGACGATTTCTTTTAAGACAATACATCTTTGGACAGAACTTTCAACCCATTAAAAAAAAAACAGCGTATTTCCTTTGTCAAAAACAGTAGTACCTACTGTCAGACCAATACCCGAATTAGTCAATTTTTTTTTATTATTATCCCTCAGGGACTAAACTGTAAATTCTTCCTTCATCTCTCCTGTCCTACAATTAGACATTACTTGGCACGAGGAAAAACTAAAAAACCTAGCGGTTCATTAAACCGAGATTAAAAGAATTACTCTATCTGAAATATACTACATTTATTTAATATACCGGTAAAAATATTTGTATTATGCATTGAGACCAAAAAAAAATTTGTTGTTGTTGTTTTTGGGGAAGGTTGTGCCAAGGACCCTGATCTTGACTGTTATATACTCATATCTTTTAGGTACAATGGATGAAGATTGCCTGTTTCTTAATGTTTTCCGTGCAACGAAGTTCAAGCATTTGAAATTACCAGTCATGGTATGGTTTCATGGCGGTGGTTTGTACCACGGCTCTGGCAATGAATATCTGGGCCTTGTCTGTGGTTATGGAGCCATTGTTGTCACGGTTAACTACCGCCTTGGGTTGCTTGGATACCTTAACGTTCCCGGCTCAGACATTAAAGGAAATTATGGGATGCTTGATCAGGTGGCTGCATTGAAATGGGTTCAAGAAAACATCGCGAGTTTTAGCGGGATTCCCAGCATGGTAACCGTATTTGGTCAAGGCGCGGGCGCTTCAAGTATTGCCTATCATATGCTTTCTCCGCTGTCTACTGGTTTATTTCACAAAGCCATTTTGCAAAGTGGAGCTGCAACCACGCCTTACACGTTCTATTCGTCAAAAGATCCGGATTATGGAAGAGACATCACCAAACGTCTGGGCTGTGATGACAATGCAATGTTGCTTGGTTGTTTAAGACAGAAAAACATTGAGGATTTTCTGAAAGCTTCTGAACTACCTCGCAGTGTGCTGGACCTCGGTCATAAGTACCCCGTGGTTACGGTTGATGGGGGATTCTTAACTGACGAACCAACTAAACTGCTTGAGCAGGGGTTTGTCAACAAAGTGCCAGTCTTGCTTGGAGTAAACAAAAACGATGGCGGCATCGTTCCTCTTTCTGAAATAGCCAGAACTCTTGGCCAGGAAGTTTCTTCCGAGCTTTTCAGTAGTTTGGTAAAGAATGCGAGGTTTTCAGCCAGGGAAGAATCTGATCTCATGAAAGAGGCCATTTTGTACCAGTACACCAACCACTCGGTGCCAGATTCCACTCGCAGCATCGAAAAGCAGTGGCTTGATCTTGTGACAGACTCATGGTTCAATGCCCCCGCAGTTCATATGGCCAAAGCCCTCGTGAGAGGTGGTAGTCCTGTGCGTCTGTACCAGTTTAGCCATCGAACGGAGTTGACTCTGTACCCAGAAATCCTTGGGGTCACCCATGGCGAGGAAATCCCTTACGTATTTGCATTGGCGTGGGCCAATCACGAAGGGACCTTAAAGATCGCGTCATCATATAATGCTGTCGAACGAGGCCTTTCATTGGCAGTGGTATTACTTTGGACCAATTTTGTGAAATATGGGTGAGTATCAACGACCCTCGTTCAGTTTGAATTTAGCAGCGCTAATCCTTGTGTATCGCCACTTAAGGTGAGCTGTAACGTTTACGCTTTCATTGAATATTTAGCGTCATCAAGTCTTAGACCGTTATTCGTACTGAACAAAATTCGAAGATAAAATCTAAACTGATTTTTATCAGGCGTCGTCCAAGGCTTTGACTTCGTCGTTGCTTGAGCTTTGTAATATTTAGCTGGAAAATCACGACTGATATTTTACTCAACCTCGTCCAATAACTGCTTATCAT